ACGAGGGGATAACGGTGTGAGGGGATGGGACGAGGGGATAACGGTGTGAGGGGAGGGGACGAGGGGGTAACGGCGCAAGGGGAGGGGACGAGGGGGTAACGGCGCGAGCGTTGTGAGTAATCATGAGTCTAAATTGTCGTGACCTCTTTGAGGTGAAGGTTGAAGTGACGTTGAACCTTTGAAGAAAGAGTTAAAGAGCTTTTGACTTGCGACAACTTAGACTTGCGATAGTCACGACTAGTTATTACGTTTCTGCCAACGGCAACCATTGTTTCACGCGTGCGATAATATTGCTAGTTATTATCGTAGAGCTATGATGTTTTTGACAATGACCCCAGCCCTGAGCATCAGTTTGTGTGTGTAAGGGCAGCCTTCGTAGATTAAATAAAAATAAAAATTTGGCTATTATCAATATAAATAATTCTGTAATTAAATGTGATAAATAATATAATAACGAGATCAAGTTCTCCCTTAGGTTAAATTTTATCACACGTGTGGTTTATTTCTTGAAGCTGTAATGAAATTTCCTCATCATTTATCAGTTGGGTCACTACATTTTGCCCCACCTGAGAATTTGCCCAGGTTGTGCACACGTCTAAGTGTAGTATGTGCCATAGTGGGCATAAGTGACAGCATGCACAGCTAAGCAAAGGGTGATATAGGGAGATGTTGGCAATGAGCAGATGGTGTGATGCCACATACTGGGTAACTTTGTTTCCACTTTTGCTTTCAAAACTTAGTCTACTCCTCGTGTTTGAACAGTACAAGTACCACCATTGCCTTAGGTTAACATACAGTGGTAGGTAAAGACATGGATACAGATGTGTTTTTGTGTATCAGACCTATAGGATTACACAAACTGGTGGCTGCACCAAACAAATCTTTAATGCCCTACAGTGACTTTTCTGCCCTTCTCAAATCATTCACTGTCTATTGGTAGAAAATACCTTGTTTACAGTTTTGCAGTTGTTTTCGTTGACAGATTGCCAACATCATATGCAACAGCAGCTATAACACGAATGGAGATACCTAGTTTATAAGCGAGCTCAAACATAACTATACGTTTCACTGCTGACACACAGAGATTGTAATCTTATCGGGGTGATTCAGTAGATACAGTCTTGGATTTCATACTTGTGTGTCGCAGTTCTTATTCAAGTCTTATTTCATGTTACCTTTCTTAAAAATTAGAGTGCCTTCGAGTGTTTTGTGATATGGCCTTGTTCTGTTGACGTTGGCACTTGGAGTGTCTATGCACCTGTGTGTAACTGTACTTCATCCAACTGTATCTTTTAATGTCTTGCATTCATTCTACCTATGCAGGACAATGGTTGCACCAGTCCCCTTTACCTACCAGCCCAGCATACGTTAATATTTCTAACAGTACATGATAGCGACTGTACAGACTCGGCTAACGTTATTCTTTCTGCCCGTAGAGGATTGCGGCTGCACCACTGATCTCTATATACTAACTGGATAGCGGTTAGCCAATCCATGGTCGGTAAGAAAGCAACGCCACCGTGCCACTATCCGCCATCTTGCATCCGCTCCTCAAAGCTGAACTCTGCTGGTGTGCGCTCAGCAACTTTTCAAATGGATTATGACGAAATGCTGCTTATTTTATCATTCTCATTGGCATGAAAACAAACTTTGATTAACACACGACAGAATTTATATATGTATATGTATGGATATATATATATATATATATATATCAGGAGTAGATAATAGGGAAGGAGTGTGACATCAATAAATAAGGGAAATTCGTCATTTACTAGCCTTATAATACCTACGATGTACTACGCGTAACTCATCCAACTTGAGCTCAAATCGTACACAGTACATTCCGCCTAGCATATACGTGCCGAAATGGTTTTCTCCTTACCACACCAATCCGGAGATATACAGACTAAAAGTAGCGACACGATTGGATTCTCTTGCGCAATCACAAAAGTATTCCCGCGAACTTAGCAAACAAAAGGCAGCTCTAAACGCATCTGTCCTCACCTCGCCGAGGCGGTGTGGCTCGCAGGAGGGATATGTCGGTTGGCCGTGCGTAGCAGTGGGAGGGGTATACTGAAACTGTATGCCGGCGTGTTATTGTGCCTGGAGTCCAAAAGTTATCTCGTCCGAGTGTGCGTCGAATGTCCAAATCTCCCAGCGAGCCACACCGGTCTCGCCGTATAACGTGAGCGGACAGTGCCGTTAGTAGCTGGCCTTTTGTTTGCAAGATTTGCGGGGTAATACTTTTGGTAGTTGATGGCCAAAGAATGGCATAAATCGTGGCGTACGTTTAGTCTGTATCTCCGGATGCTGCGTGTTATACGAGAACACGATTTCGCACGATGCTAGGGAATGTATCTGTTTACGATTTGAGAAGCTCAAGTTGGATGAAGTTTACGCGTTAGAATACTGTAGAGTATTATAAGGCTAGTAAATGACGATTTGCCCTTTGTTTATTGATGTCACACTCCTTCCGCTAATATCTACTCCTGATATAATATATAATATCGTTTAATCTCTCTTCTCTCTCGCTGTTATATATATGATTATGAACAAATTGTATTCTGAATGTCCGTGGTACGTCATAGCGCCTGCACGTTTTTGGGATGTGGTTGGAAATTTTGATCGTGGACTTGTTTGTAAAAAGTAAAGGGAATGAGCGGAGTAGATGGAGCACGAAGGAGGGGTTTGGTGTTTTTGTGAATGCCGGGCAATTTTGTTGCGTGACAAATATATATATATGTAATTTTGACAAGGCGAGAGAAAGAAGAGACAAGACAATATGGATCTTCATACAAGAGGTTTCTGCCTAGGATGTCGCAAGTTACCGTGAAACCGCTATTTATGATAAATACTTGAACTAGAAGTGGTGTCACGGTGAGCCCAGTAGCTGTATACTATAGCCCGCGTTCAGTAAGCTGCACGCGAAAGTTACTCGAACGCGGCGCTATAGTACTTTAGAGCTAGGTGCCCAGTGCTACAGCTAAATGGCCTCACGAAGATTCTATCCAGTTAGTATACAGAGATCACTGCAGGCTGAACAGACCTTAGCTAACAAAAACCTTTCCTACCCCCTAACAGGACGGGACTCACAGCCATAGCTAATTTTGATCTTTCTAAGCCGTACAGTGCAGTCTGCAGCAGCATAGCCATGTTGTAATCTTTCCACCCGACAGGACGGCGGCTGGCACGTGCCAGGAGACGTGCAAAGGCGTGTTCGTGCTGTGTTCCGATTTCGTTCATTGCATGCGGGCATGCTGGCAGGCCACTGATCAGGTCAGTTGGTGAACATCATTGAACGAGACGGCCGGCTGTACAAGTGTTTCGATGGACATGAGCACTGACCAGACGATGAAAGAAATAGCCGGAGTGTGACCGAACATGTACAGTTCGTTACGCCCACTTAGTAGTTAGAGGTACACTTGTCGCACCCACCTTATCATTAAAGGTCGAATGCCGTCAAGCCTCGCGTGTATCACCGTACACTCGTCTGTCAAGCTCACCTGTAGCTACAGTTGACTTCTCACACCCCACCTGTATTACCTCATGGGGTCGTTGTCTATCGATGTACTACACGATATGTACCGACGAGTAGGCATATATGTATACACAAAGTGTACCAAACTTGTCTACAGAGTGTACCTAAACCCTAACCCTAACATACCTCATATAAAAATATTAAAACTAATACTCGAATACAACTAAAAACTACCTCAAGGTTTACATATCGGGTAGTACCCTACGATACGAACATACGACCCCATCTTGCTGTATTTTTACAAGGTACTTATTGTCACACCCAGCTGTATTTACAGGTAATGCTCTCGTGCCCCTCCTGTAGTTACGGTATGATTATCCTTGTACAATGACAAGGTTTAGCCTTGAAATAAAGAAACAAAAAGTGACTAGATTTTGCCCATACTACTTGAAAGAAAATGATCAACCAGCAGTTAGGCTAATGTTTGCGTAAGCTCATTGATAGGTTATTGGTGCCAATAGTGAGGACTGCTCTCAAGAAAATAGTGGTATTAAACCAAAATTACACTGAGTTGATACTTCCTATGGTAAAAAAACTTTGAAAATTAAACAGAAATCAAGCAATTTTCTGTACCCGTGCTACCATAGAATTAACGTGAAGGAAAAATGAATGACCTTAAACACTAGGGTCCACTAGTTCTATCAGATTTTATGTATTTCAACAGTCACGATCAGTGGGAAAAACACTGTTAAAACCTGTACCGCAGCTTTAAACAGCTGAGTCGGCAGACCAAATCACGAAGGCCTCGTCGTGAATCGATGCCGACGAACTGTCCAGTCGAAGTATTCTTGCGCGGCCCCTCCAGGATCCACTTCGCAACCGTTGATCGCGTGACGATTGCTGATGTGGCTGCGTTGCTCACTTCCTGGGAAAAGCCTTGTCCGATGAAATCGATTAAATGTCCAGTCATGAAAGTACTTTTCCTCCCGCAGGGCCCTCCTCCACTACTAGGATCACTCGGCGCCGTGTCGCGTGTTACAACCTCACTACTGTGTTTCGTCGTGTCTCCTCCTCTCTCCAGGTTAATCACTCACGCTAGTGACTCGACGTGATTCAACCGCTACTAGTGTTACGCGTTGGAATGTCTCCTCTCATCTCCAGGAATCCACTCGCCTTCGTGACAACCGCTACTGTGTTCGCGTGTTCTCCTCCTCGCTTCTTCTTAGGAATCAACTTCACGCGATGACGCGTGACAACCGGCTACTGTGTTCGCGTGTTACTCCTCCTCCTCTCCAGAATCCACTCAAGGCGCGTGATCGCAGAATAAGTCGTGACAACCGCTACTGTCGTTCGCGTGTCTCCTCTCCTCTCCTCAGGATCCATTCACGCGTTGACAACCGCCCTACTTGTGTTCGCGTGTCTCCTCCTCCTCTCCAGGAATCACTCACGCGTGGACATAACCGTACTGTGTTTCGCGTGTCTCTCCTCCTCTCCCAGTGAATCCACTCAACGCCGTTGTCCGGATCGCCATGCCACTCAACCGTTACTGCTGTCCTCGCGCTGCCTCTCCTGCCTCCTCTCAGGAATCCACTCTGCGCCGTGACAACCGCTACTGTGTTCGGTGTCTCATCCTCCTCTTCCAGGAATCCACTCTGCGCGTGACAACCGCATCTACTGCTAGCTTCGCGTGACCATGCCTCTCCTCCTCCCTTCTCAGGAATCCACCATCCTAGCGCCTGCTGACAACCGCTAACTAGTGTTCGCGTGTCATCTCCTCCTCATTCCAGAGAATCCACTCTCGCTTGCGCTGACAACCCCGCTACTGTCTTCGCGACGCCCACCATGGTCTCCATCCACTCTCAGGACATCCATCACGCGTGAACAACGACCGCTACGTGTTTGGCGTGTTCCCTCCGTCCTTCTCCAGGACTCCACTCACGCGTGACAACTGGCTACTGTGTTCTGCTTGCTCTCCCCCTCCTCTCCAGAATTACTGCTGCCACCGTCGATCGCGTGACAAACCGTACTGTGTTCGCGTGTTTCCTCCTCCTCTCCAGGAATTCCACTTCCAGCGCAGTGATCGCGTTGACAAACCGCCTACTGTGTATCGCGTAGTCTCCTTCTCCAGGAAATCCACTCAGCGCAGTAGATCGACGTGACCCAACCGCTACTGGTTCGGTGTCTCTACTCCTAGGAATTCACTCTCGCGCGTGATGATCGCGGCTCACTGGACAACCGCTTACTGTCGTCGCGTGTTACTTCCTCCTCCTCTCCAGAGAATCCACATCGCGCAAAATGAATCCGTGACAACCGCTACTTGTTCGCGGTCTCCTCCTCCTTCCAGGAAATCCACTCGGGCGTGATCGACGTGACAACACGCTACTGATTGTCTTTCGCGTGTCTCCTCCTCCTCTCAGGAATCCACTCGCCACGTGGAACACCGCGCATTACTGTTGTTCGAGTGTCCTCCTCCTCTCCAGGAATCCGACTTCGCGCAAGTGAGTCGCGTGCGACAACCAAGCTACTGTTAGTTCCCGTGTTCTCCCACTTCCTCTTCAGGAATCCAACTCGCGAGTGATCGCGTTGCACAACGCTACTGTGTTCCGCGTGTCTCCTCCTTCCTCCTTCATCCAGGAATCAACTCGCGCAATCGTGATCTGTGAAAAAATTGCTGACAACCGCTACTCGTAGTTCGCGTGCTCTCCTCTCCTCTCCAGAGGAATCATCAACGCGAAAAAGCGTGACTCGTTGTGAAACCGCTACTGTGTTTTCGCGTCGTCTCCTTCCTCACTCTCAGGAATCCACTCGGCGCAAGTGATCGAGTGAACAAACCGCTTACTGTGTTCGCGTGTCATCTCCCCCTCTTTCGGAATCCATCGCAGAACGTTGACAACGGCCTACTGTAGTTCCGCCGTGTTCCATCCTCTCCAGGAATCATCACTGCGCAGTGAATCGTGTGACAACCGTAACTGTGTTCGCGTGTCTTCCCTCCTCTCTCCAGGAATCCACTTGCGCGTGACAACCGCTACTGTGTATCGCGTGTTCTCCTCTCAGGAATCCACTCGCGCGTGATCGTGCTGGACAACCCGCTACTGTGTTCGCGTGTCTCTACTCCTCTCCAGGAATCCACTCAGCGGCGTGATCGATGTGACAACCGCTTTTACTGGTTCGCCGACATGATCCTCCTCTCCTCTTCCAGCGAAATCACTCGCGAGTGAATCGGCGTGCAAAACCGCATACTGTGTTCGCGATGTCTCTCTCTCTCCAGGATCACTCGCGGGCCCCGTGATCGCGTTGACACCGCTACTGCATATGGTGATCGCGTGTTTCTCTTACTCCAGGATTCCACTCACGCGGTCGACTGTCGCGTGACAAACGCACTAACTGGTTCGCGTGTCTCCCCCTCCTCTCCAAGAATTCCACTCGCGCTGTGAATCGCGTGCAACCGCTCACTGTGCTTCGCGTGTTCCTCCTCTCTCAGGATCCACTCTAGCGCGTGACAACCAGCTGCTGTGTTCGCGACTGTACTCCTTCCTCCTCTCCAGGAATCCACTCGCGCGTGACAACCGCTACTGTGTTCGCGTGTCTCCTCCTCCTCCTCTCCAGGAATCCACTCGCGCGTGACAACCGCTACTGTGTTCGCGTGTCTCCTCCTCCTCCTCTCCAGGAATCCACTCGCGCGTGACAACCGCTACTGTGTTCGCGTGTCTCCTCCTCCTCCTCTCCAGGAATCCACTCGCGCGTGACAACCGCTGCTGTGTTGTGCTTGCAGGGCGTCGGAGGGCAAGACGGTGGAGATCCCGTACCGCGGCGACGTCGCACACACGCTGCTCGACATTCTCGGCGGCATCCGCTCGGCATGCACGTACGTCGGCGCGGGCAAGCTGAAGGAGCTCAGCAAGCGCACGACCTTCATCAGGGTCACGCAGCAGGTGAACGAGGTGTACGCGCCGCACTCCGTGCCGACGACGCGCGCCGCGCAGACGATGCCGACGAAGACCGCCCTTCCCGCCCCCTAGTGGCGACTGCGAGAAGTACGGTGCCCCGATCGGATGTTTTTTTCTTTTCAGCCGGGCCCCCCAGTTGACTCCCGTGTTGCAGTGGCGTCTGTGCGCTGTAGATCGAGAGTGCTTGGCTTGTTTCCCCTTGGTTTCCCCGCATGAGCGTGCCTTGGTTTTGGCGTAACCCTATTTTTTGCAGGTTTTGTGAATATTATTGTTAATTGTAATCCGTTATCAGGTAGTAGGGCCTGCTGTTGTTGAATTGTATGCAGGCTAATTGGAATTTACAATTGGATTAATAAAACAATCCTACACCATTACATGCAAGCATATCATATAGTGAAGTGATTGCATTAAACATTGTCAGCAGAAAATTAGAGGATAAACACACACGATTTACTATTCAAACACAATAATCATGAACTAGTTTGATGTATTATTTCTAATATTGTGATACAGTATCAGTACTTTTAATGCATTCATATTTCTAGTAAACCTTAATATAAATCACACCCTGATATCAGTGTCTCTCCACGTTTCGTACATGGTACATGTACATAATTTCAGATAGCTAAACAATTGGTAGAGAGGAGTTGATTCTAAAATCAATATTTTATCTTATGTAATCATTTCATTCAGATGTTTGAAGCACACAAGTTGATTAGTTCTGGTCAAGCCTCGTTTGTCGTGTTTGTGGAAAGAAAAGGATGAGCCGTCCGATCAGTAGTCGAGTATCTAGGCTAGGCCGGGAAGATACAACATCTAGCATGAATATTGTGATTTTATGAGAAATCCTTGCGTGTTTCACTAACATCTAAATGGTGAAATAGCCACATTATACGTGAAATTCTGAGAGTAAATGTTACAATTGAGTGTGACGCTTGATCTATATTGACTCCTAATGTAAGTGAAACAGCGGCATCATGTGCTAGTCAGCGACATAGGTGTGCGCACAGTGGGCCGTGCTAGCTCTATACTGAGCTAATTTAATGTGTTTTCGAAAATTAATTTTTAAGATACAATTTAAAACGTATAATTGATTTTTTAAATAGAAGTTGAGATCTGACATTAAATTTGGAAACAATATAGGTCCTTGTATGGTTCAACTAATGTTTTGCTTACTACTGTGCATTGATTTCGTTATGGTTGTGTAAACAGTAAATACACGTGATGATTGTATCATCAGATGAAAAATTATGCTTGTAACAGATGTTTTTAACTAGAGGTAAATCGTGGAGTATTTTTATTTTGTTGTGACAGTACAGTGACAACAGTGCAGTGGAGCAATCGACCATATATTTGTGGTCATTTCATTGTCTGTTCACAGTTTGATAATGGCAGTGCCAGTAAATGGATTTCTAAACATTCACATGCATACCTCCCAGCCATTTTTAGGACAAAATTTGAATTTTATAGAAAATGTGGGGGAGAAATCTAGGAATCGGAATTAAGCAGCCAGCTGTTCACATATTCACAATCTAACCTTTCACCTGGAAGGTTTCATTTTAATGAATCTGTACCATTTAATTAAGTTCATAATTTAAATTACACTACAGAACATAATAATAACAACAATATCCAGTAATTATGATGTGCTACTCACTTGAGATCAATGATGAAAAACCGGTCAAGTGTTTCTCACCGAAATCTGGCTAACAAATCTGCTTTTGTCAATGGTCACTTCGACTCCCTACATGACAAAAATGTTTGGGTTTGGTGTAGGGGTTTCAATTCGGGGGAAGGAAAGAAATGATAAAAAGTCTGTCAATCTCCCTTGTTCCAGGCAACAGAAAATGCTTTTGATCGGCGAACATTACATCAGTTTGTATAAATGAAGCAATAACAACTTGTTATAAGCCAGTCTTGCCTTCAATATTTTGTATGAGGCCTTATCTACTATGAGGCTAGGGGGTCCAGGAGCATGCATCAGCCCAGTATATTACATTTACACACATTTTCTACTGGTCACGATCACACTCTAGATAGATGAGTCAAAATGTAGGAGTTGTAGGATCGTATAAAAAATATAGAAAATTTATAGGAAATGTCTGGGAGGCATGCTGTCTGACTCCTGTCTGTTATGACATGAAATTACATCAATGGCATTGCCACCAAATTATATTGTGCAACTAGTTCGCATAAAAACAGAACAGACAAATTTACCTTACAATTTTACAAAAGTTTCACGAACACCATTGTTACAAGCATACCCACCGCCACTAACTGAAACCGGCAGTAACAGGAATCACGGACCAACTTCATCCATGCCACTAACTTATGTAGATATCTCAGGCGCACACGTCACAAACGTGGCCTCGCTTTGGCAGGCTCGTCTTCTGCTGAGTATTGTTCGGGTGCTTTTCGCTTGCTAGCTTGCGGGGTGGGATTATCATCCACTGACAATTGCGTGCCGTCATCTGCTAGCTTCTCAAAGGCAAACGCGCAGTAGATACCTTGAAGAACAAATGGTAAACACCAGACGTAAGATCAGAAGTTCCCTATTATGTCTGTCAACTATGAGCTGCCAATTTCAATTAATATATCGCTTTCGCTGGCGTGTGGGATTTACCCGCTTACAATATATTCAATTTGCCTACGTTTGTGGTAATATATCACACAAGTGATACAACAATGAATTTATAGTTTGCTATGTATCAGATATACTTTTGCAATATTTTATAAATTGCTACAGTTTTTTAATGCCCCCCAGCACATCCCAAGTACATTTTAAAACTTCATTTAGGATAATTTTATTTAATATAAAATTATCAATAAATAAATACAAATACATTTCGTTCAAAAGATCAAGACATTATTTACTAGCAAGACATAATTAGTAATTGGTTCATTTAATTCAATTGATATTCAATTTAATTTCATAGCATTCTCTTCATAGTTATTCAAAAAATAACCTAGTAATTTCATTCGAGGCAATTATAATGCAGAAATTAGGATGCAATAAAATACATCATGTAGTATACTCACTTGTAGCTTCCCATTCTGATTTTGATAGTGTTCCCTGTATAAGATAAAAAATGTTTCTTATACATGAACATGCAGATTGATTAATGAAATTTCTCAATTGTTCACATTTTAGTACCCGACTAAAACTAAGCAAATACATGTGATAAGACATATTTCTTAAGTATAAATTGACATTATATGTTACTTTAAACATTTAGCTCGAAAGTTCACATAGTTAGACCATATAAATCAACCATATATTAGCATAAATGCTGTTTCTTGGGTGTGCTACTGCACTATCTATTCGGTGCAAACAGTCTATACATTGGATTATCTCAGATGATGACAGAGAAATGTACAGAAATAGGATGAGTTACGCGTAGTAAATCGTAGGTATTATAAGGCTAGTAAATGACGAATTTCCCTTGTTTATTGATGTCACACTCCTTCCCTATTATCTACTCCTGATATATATATATATATCGTTTATCTCTCTTTCTCTCGCTGTATATATATATATATATGACACAAATGTGATGTCGTGTACGTCATACGCCTGCAGGTTTTCGGGATTGGTTGGAAATTTTGATGTGGACTTGTTTTGAAAAAGTAAAGGAGAGCGGGGTAGTGTGAGACGAATGGAGTTGGTGTTTTTGTGAATCCGGGCAATGTTGTTGGTGACAATATATATTATATGTATATTTACAGCGAGAGAAAGAGAGACAAACAATATGATCTTCTATACAGAGAGGTTTTGCCTAGGATGTCACAAGTTCTGTGAAAACCCTATTCTATGATAATACTTGAACTAGGAGTGGTGTCACGGTGCCCAGTAGCTCTAGTACTATAGCCCGCGTTCAGTAACTGCCGCAGGTTACTGAACGCGGGCTATAGTACTAGAGCTAGGTGCCCAGTGGCTACAGCTAATGGCCACTGAGATCTATCCAGTTAGTATACAGAGATCACTGGGCTGAACAGACTTAGCTAACAAAAACCTTTCTACCCCTACAGGACGGTGACTCCACAGCCATAGCTAATTTTGATCTTTCTAGCCGTACAGGACAGTAGCTGCACAGCCATAGCCAATGTTGGTCTTTCCACCCGAACAGGACGGCGGCTGCACGTGCCCAGGAGACGTTGCAAAGGCGTTCGGTGCTGGTGCCGATTTCGTCATGATGGGCGGCATGCTGGCAGGCCACGATCAGTCAGGTGGTGACATCATTGAACGAGACGGCCGGCTGTACAAGCTGTTCTATGGCATGAGCTCTGACACAGCGATGAAGAAATACGCCGGAGGTGTGGCCGAATACAGGTACGTTCGTTACGCCCCACTTGTCGCACCCACCTGTATTTACAGGTGTGCTCGTCAGGCCTCGCGTGTAGTCACCGGTACACTCGTCAAGCTTCACCTGTAGCTACAGGTATGCTTCTCACACCCCACCTGTATTTACGCTCAATGGGTCGTTGTCATATCAGGTACTACAGATATGTACCCGAGGTACATATATGTATACACAAAGTGTACCAAACTTGTACTACAGAAGTGTACCCTAACCCTAACCCTAAACATACCTCATATAAAAATATAAACATAATACTAAACAACCTAAAACTACCTCGGGTACATATCGGTAGTACCTGATACGACAACGACCCCATCTGCTGTATTTACAGGTAAACTTGTCACACCCCAGCTGTATTTACAGGTATGCTCATCGTGCCCCTCCTGTAGTTACAGGTATGAATTACACTGTACAAATGAAAGGTTTAGCCTTGAAAAAGAAACAAAAAGTGACTAGTATGCCCATACTACTTGAAAGAAAATGCCAACCAGCAGTTTAGGCTAATGGTGGTAAGCTCATTGAAGTTATGGTGCAATAGCTGAGACTCCTCTCAAGAAAAAATAGTGGTAAAACCAAATTACCACGAGTTGTACTTCCTAGGTGAAAAACTTGAAATTGACATAAACCCAAGCAATTTTCTGTACCCGTGCCTACCATAGAATAAGTGAAGGAAAATGATGGACCTTAAACCACTAGAGTCACTAGATTTCTATCAGATTTTATGTTTCAACACACGATTCAGTGAGGAAAACACTGTTAAAACCCTGATACCGCAGCTTTAAACAGCTGGTCGGCAGCCAAATCACGAGGCCTCGTCGTGAATCGATGCGACGAACTGTCCAGTCAGAAGTATTTCTGCGCGGCCCCTCCAGGAATCCACTCGCGCGTGATCGCGTGACAACCGCTACTGTGTTCGCGTGTCTCCTCCTCCTCTCCAGGAATCCACTCGCGCGTGATCGCGTGACAACCGCTACTGTGTTCGCGTGTCTCCTCCTCCTCTCCAGGAATCCACTCGCGCGTGATCGCGTGACAACCGCTACTGCATGTGTTCGCGTGTCTCCTCCTCCTCTCCAGGAATCCACTCGCGCGTGACAACCGCTACTGTGTTCGCGTGTCTCCTCCTCTCCAGGAATCCACTCGCGCGTGATCGCGTGACAACCGCTACTGTGTTCGCGTGTCTCCTCCTCCTCTCGTGGAATCCACTCACGCGTGATCGCGTGACAACCGCTACTGTGTTCGCGTGTCTCCTCCTCCTCTCGAGGAATCCACTCACGCGTGATCGCGTGACAACCGCTACTGTGTTCGCGTGTCTCCTCCTCCTCTCCAGGAATCCACTCACGCGTGATCGCGTGACAACCGCTACTGTGTTCGCGTGTCTCCTCCTCCTCTCCAGGTCACCACTACTCGTCACATTCGGCGGTTGGAGATTTATTGGCAGTTTTTAGCCTGCGCCACTCGCAGTATGCGCGGCCATATCCAGTTCATGACAGGATATTATTAAACTATATTTACTTGGTTTCCCTGTGCCATCTGCCCCATGGTTAGAGTGCGACCGAAGCCGCGCGCTTACAAGTCGCCTCTATATCTAGAGTTCATGAATTGCCGACACACGCACTTCCCACGGGATTTGCGCGACTTCGACAGCCAAGTCGTAGCCGCCGGCCGGGTGGACGCAGATAGCGGGCTATTTGTAGACTGTAACTCTGTTTACACTACCACACGTCGCGCGCACACACGCACGCACGCAACTGCACGCACGCGCACGGCACGCACGCCTACACACACACACACACACACACACACACAACACCACACACAAACAAACACCACACCCACGTACACATCGCCGTTCCGCTCTGTATATAGCGCGGACACAATACGCCTCGTTATTTACAAGGCGGCCGCATGAAGCCCATCTCTCTAGCCACTGCGCACTATGCTCAGCAGGCTCAATTTCATAATTTCCGGTAGTTTGTCAAAAGCTGTAATCGCGCGTTGTTGCAATAGTCTTCTCGTGTTCACGCCGCAAGATCTTACACAGCGTTGTAGTTAGCACGCTGCAACTATCACACTACGACGCACACCACACACACAACACACAGCACCACACACACACACACACACACACTACACACACGCACTGCACGCACGCACGGCACGCCACACACACACTACACACACACATTACCACACACACACACACCCACAACACAGCCTCGAGTCAGAGCAGAGGAGATCTGATGAGCGAGAGAGAAGAGAGAGATTCGCAGATGCTAGAGAGCAGAGTAGCAGATCTTATCTTCATGGCACGAGAGAGAGAGGAGAGACTGCCGAGCCGCGGCGATGCAGAGAGAGAAGAGATAGAGAGAGAGAGAGAAGAGGAATGAGTCTAGCGTTTCCTACATGAGAGTTGATTAGGCAACGACGGTCTGAGCGCAAAAGAGCGCTTGCCCACCGGTTGCGGGCTCTCTCGACGCGCTAAAATTTCTGCCGACAAACATTCGCAAGCCACGTACAACGATCACTCGAAGTGTATTAGCTAATGCCCGACAAACATGTGCACGTGCATGAGAACAAACTTCCATTGTGCGCCACGAATCTGTGATCTGTTTGGCAAAGCGGGCTTCTATTCTTTCTCGGTAGAAGTTTCGTCAGCTTACAATGCCGAGCGGAGAGAGAGAAAGAGTACGCATGCAAAATCAGTGGCTAGGGGGGTCGCGGGGCATGCCCCTGGAAAATTGTTGAATTGAGAAGCTCTGAGATGCAATCTGGGAACACTCTGTGTAGTAAATTTTGAATGCACTGCACGATGGGGTGAAATATTTTGTTTTGCATGGGCAAAGCCATCGGAAAATTCAAAATAATAATACCAAAATGTAGGGTGGAATTTGCTGGTTGCTTGGTTCCAAAATCGAGTTCACCTCTGCTAATAAATTAAAATTTTTTTTTGTCACATTGACAATGGCAGGAGCTGGTCGGTAAGTGTACCAGTCTACTCTACCTCTTGCATAGGATCTGGGTTTCCTGCCCCGTAATTAATTGCGTTGGAAATTAATTCACGATTTAATTCACGATTAAGATTTCTTGATGAGCTAGAAAACACTCGGATTTAAAGTATGAAATGAACATATTGTGCCAGCTTAGCCTTACACCCAGTTGGTTGGGAATTGATTGTCAGTTCAGATGCAAAATATTCAACAGCAACAGGTTATCACACCATAGATTTAATCCTTTCTCCCCTCCTCCTTCTACAGCTTCTACCTTTCTCATTCTTCACTAGTTCTCCCTTACTAGTTCCATACTCTAAACTTCTCCTCCCTCCTCCCTTACACTGCTCATTCCTAACCTGTTACAGAACTTGGTATTTTACACAAACCCTTCAAGTGTACAAATCCTAATCGTAAACACAAAGGGACGAAGCTGTCATTGGTCGCGAGTCGGCACCATGCGGGGGGCGGGGCTTGGGGCGGGGCCGGGGCGGGGCCGGGGCGGTCCTATCTCAGATATTTCGCACTCGTCAGATATTTCGCGCGACAGCGGGGCTGGACGATAGCCTGGCGGGCCGCTTGGAGTGGGAGAGAGAGAAAGAGAGTTCGCGAGCGAGAGAGGGAGAGAGAGCGAGAGCAAGAGACACACACACACAGAGAGGCAGGCACAGTACAGACATGTCGGACGGCAACAAGCCCGACAGCATTCTCGTCTTCGGTGGCAACGGTCAGATGGGCGCTCCGGCCGTGGCGTTGCTTTGCGCTCGTGTTCGCGCCACGCGCCGCCATGACGAATCGGTCTGCCGCGGTAACTGGTACTGGGACCACGCGCCCCGCACCGTGGAGACGCACGTGCGGCACGTCGTCGGCGACCGCGCGACGCTGGCGACGTGCGACGAGTTCCGGCGGCTCGTCGACGAGACGGGCAAGTTTAACCTGGTTTGTGGACTCAGTGCCTACCTTACCGGAGTTACATCACGAGCATCTGGGGAAATCCTCAAGGGGGGGAGCGTGGCGTACGTGTGTGTGTTGTGTGTGTGTCACCCTATGTTCGTGTGTCGCGTGTGTGTGTGGTGGTGTGTGTGTGTGTGTGTGTGTGTGTGTGTGTATAGTGTGATATGTGTATATGGTGGCAGCTGTGTGTGTCGTGTGTGTGTGTGTTGTGTGTTGTGTGGTGTGGTGTGTGCTGTGTGGTGTGTGTGTGTTGTGGTGTGGTGTGTGGTGTGTGTGGTGCTGTTGCGTCGTGCTGTGCGTAATGTGACGAACGGCTGCAGCGCCGTGTGCGTGCCAGTGCGTGTCGTGCGTGTGTGGCGCGTGGCAGGGCGGTTGAACGCCTGTGTGTAAAGCGCGCGTGTATGTACGCACACCATTAGAGAGTGTGCGAGCACTCCGTAATTATTGGGAGTTACGAAGTATTAGGTAGGGCGTTAGTACCAGTTATTTATGGTTATGTTTATCGACGATGCATCTAGTGTACGGGTTTCCTAAAGGTTTAATTATAACCCTGGGGCAAGCTATACATACATTACTTCAGAGACGGCGATCCGTGATGGAGTAATTTTGTGGCCAACCACATCTGGGCAATAGCAGGCTTTAATCCGATTCAAGATTCAGTTTTAAATAAAAACACTACAGGTAGGTATTACAGTGTGCTATCGGGGTAATAGGCACCGATAGGGGTCACTAGCTGTACCCTATATACATTTCAACTTGTACTTTTCATTGGCAATTTATAATAATCGAAACACCAAATTGCGCAGAGAAAAAATATATAAACGCAGGCACAGAGAGAAGTAGTCCAACAACGTGCCCTGGAGATTCTTGGTAGACTATTCAAATAACAAGGATGTTCTGAAAATTTAAATTTACAGCAGTGTCTCGTCACATGCCTGGCACCTCGGAGCCAGCTTTGAGGCTCGCTCATATGCCAAGCTCAAGCTAGGAGTTGATACAGCTGGTGCTGGGGCAGTATTATAAATAGGCACAGGACAAAGACCCTATAGTTCTTTGGGTCTTTTTGACCCTAGGCCCTAGGTGACCTAGGTTTTGG